CTTCGCCACCTTCTCGGCCGTCATGTCGGCGGCCCGCCCCGTCGGCGTGCGCCCGCACCAGCATTGCGTCGGCCTCCGCGTCCAGGCCCTCTACGGGCAGGGCCGCCGCGAGAGACATCGCAGCGCCGGGGTGTTCGGCCATCACCTCTGCAGCAGGGACGGCGAGATGGAGGAGGCGAGGTAAAAGGTCCGATCGGACGCCCGAAAGCGTCAGGCCCCACCAGTGAGGGCGGCGACATGATCAAACAGGCTTGCCATGACGAGCAACGCTGGCGGTGGAGGTGAAAATTTTGACGCAGTATCAACAGTCGTGCTTGGAGGGAGGGGAGGGGAAGGGAGGAAGGAAGGAAGGGAGAGGTGAGGAGGAGGGCGACGGAAATCAGTTGTTCACACTCGTCATACTCAAAGATGGCGGAGGGAAGATAGGCAATCGAAGTGCCACGTCTTTCATCGATGCGCATGTTCGGGCTCGCGCGTCGAAATATAGCCGCGCGGATTCTGGCCCGCTGAAAGCTCGCTGTTGCCTGGTCGCGGCGGGAACTCGCGCGTTTTGCACCCTCACATTCGATGAGGAGGGAGGACAAGGGAGGGGGAGGGAGGGGGAGGATCGGATCGGATCGAACAGGCCGATGGGCTCGTCAGAACCCAATCGCCGTCTGGTGCAGCCCAACTGCCAGAATAGCAAGGTGTCGAACCTGAAAACAAACGTCGATCGTACTCATAGCCGCCCTACTTACCCAGCGGGCCCAAAACCTTCGCGAACCCGATCAACCACCGGGGACCTCACGGGGCCCCTTTGGCGAAAAAACGCAGACTCAAAAATCACAGGGAAAACCCATGTCATTATCTGGGGAGGAGGAGGAATGGGAGAAGCGGGGGGAGTGGGAGGGAGGCGAGGGCGAGGGCGAGTGGGAGGCTCTCCTACACGTGCCCGAGGCGCACGACCGGCTCCCCACGCTGGCCATCACAGCGACGGACGCGGTCGACAGAATCAACTTCGACGGATCATCAACGTCAGACTTCGAGCTCGTCGACACCGCCAGGTGAACCTGACGGTGGGGCGCCACGGCGGTGCCAGGTCTCCTCCCGGGACTGCCCCATTGGAAACATGGAGCTCCAAACGGAAGACACACTGCCCATATCTCATCACAGGGCTGTACCACATTTGCCCGCATCAAGGAGGCATAGTACGTTCCCACGCATATATCTAGACGAGCGCGTTCCACCACTCGCTAAGTTACTACTCGCAAATCGCCTGGATCCGCCGCTGGGGATCTACGATGTTTTTCGTGGAGGCGACCATGTGCTTTTCGAACGCTTGCGAGTAGGTGCTTTGCGAATAGTGGAACGCGCTCGGTGAATATGAAAGAAGCTCCCGTTGCAATGCTAGCTCTCAAACGAATTTCCGCTTGGACACCTATACACCTCTCGCCTATCCTGGGCAGCTCCGGCAGGTCGTCCCCCTCGGGGTGGCTGGGCGAGAAGACCCGAATTTCGGGTTGGGGAGGGTACACGGGCTTCATACGTTTGTGGATGCCATGACAATGGACACTCTAACAACCCTATCATTGAGTTAAAGATGTGTTTAAAATGCGTACAGCGTGTTCTAAAAATGTTTCAAACATGGTTGTTACATGTCTTTAGCATGTTGTAAGCATCTTTTAGACATCTGGAAATTATTTGGCAACATGCTTCCTCTCCACTGATCGTCCTCCAGAATCATACGTGCGTTTTCCATCCTCCCTGACCCCCCCACACTGGAAACGGAGGGCACACCGGGGCCTTCGGGTTGGGTTGGGGTGGCTTGGTGGGCGGCGAGTGCAGGACGAGGAGGAGGAGTCAACTCAAGCCGGCTCAAGTGCTCCTACACGCGCAGGAAGTCTTCAAGACGGGCCCGAGCGGGCCTCTCGTCCTCCTGCAAGAGGGGCCCTCGACTCCTCAAGGAGGACCTCAAGACGGGCCTTTGACTCCTCCCCCTCGTCCTCGAGGGGGAGGAGTCAATGCTCCACCCCCCTGGGGGCTCCGCGAGGGGGTGCGCCTCGAGCCTCCGAGGGGCGCAGGTGCCCCGGGGGGGGGCCCGAGGTCGCAGGAGCTCGTCGCTGCGCACTCCAGGAGAGCGCGGCGGCAGCAGCACCTCCGAGGCGAGTCGGACCGTGATCGAGGCAGCAAGGGGAAGGGGAGGGGGAGGAGGGGGGAGGAGGGGGGTGGAGGAGGAGGAGGGGAGGAGGAGGAGGAGGAGGAGGAGGAGGAGGAGGAGGAGGAGGAGGAGGAGGAGGAGGAGGAGGAGGTTGGCGATGGCGCTGATACAGCCAACCCGTACAATAAGGGCGCACGGTAAGGATGCAAGGGCCTCGGGAGGCCGTATCGACACTTTGCGAGCTGGGCGCGGCCAGCGAAAGCGGCCAAGGATGGGTCGAAGGGGAAGGATGCAAGGGTAGCCTTGGAAAGTTGCTCATCCTTACTATGCGGGTTGACTGTACTGGAGCTGATGCTGACGATGACAAGTGATCGACAGCGAGCGAATGACCGAAGGTTGGGAAGCAGTGCCCTAGAACGCAGTGCAAAAGCAACACATCAGCCCAGCTGACACAGGATTATCAGCCTCTCACGCTAGCATCCAATTTGAAGCATGCGTAGCATCGGAAATCTTAGAGTGCCTTGCAAGTCCCCTATTCTCTACGCCTGGCCTGAAGACATGGCTGGTGTGGCGCAAAAGATTCGTCTCGGCTATGTTGAGCTGGCACGGCGGCAGAACTTGCCGCGGGTCGCCTCCCCCTCCTCCTCCCCCCCCCCACCCCCTCCTCCTCCTCCCCCTCCACTTGATCGATGGATCTGACTGCGCTAGTGCCCGGCCTCTGGAGGCACCCACGGCACGCGGCGCGCCATCATAGTCCACACGCGCGCGGTCCACTCGCGGTGGCTTTCGAGATCTGGCAGCGGCGGAGAAACGAGCCGCAATAGAGGCCAAACAGTCACGATATGGTTGAGAGGATCAATACCAAGGACAAAACTTATCACAATTGGCCAACACGTCGCAATACCCAAACCCCTGGTTCCGAACTGTGACGACACACGCAAAGCCACAAGTTGCAAATCTAGGATCAATGCGCTTGCCTCGTCAAATTCCGCACGGCGCCTCTGCCCTGCCAATTGCCGTAATTGTGGCGCAAGCTGGGTTGCAGTATGATCCCACTGCTGCAGCGTGGATGTAGCCTCGTGGTACAATAGTGGACGCCACCTCTGCAATTCCGCGAGAAACAACTCGTGCTGACCATTACGCAGCAGCGTCCTGCGCAGCGGCAATCCTGGCCCAGGATCTGCGTCAGATCGCGGCGCTGCTGGAGGCAAACTATGCAATGAGATGCCGTCAGAAGAATATGATGTGATGTTCCCCCAGTCACGAGCGAACGCGAGGCAACGTTGGCATTGCCATGCGTAGTTCAAGGATGACACCCCTGTGGCAAAATCTACTGAGGGCTCCATGGTTTCACGCGGGATTCCTGTCGGGCTTCTCGATTCCTCGATGTCCGCGTGGCGAACTTCGCCTTGGGATTGAACACACACCTTCACCTTCACTGTGTTGGAGTTCCCGCTGTAAGGAACTAGCACCGCATCCAAGGAACGGCCGTTAGGATGTTGAATGGTGGCCAATATAGATATGAAAACGCCGTCGGTTGCAGATGACAACATATCATCAAACCTTGCGCGATCATCAAGAATTAGAGAACTCCGAAATTGTTGACCTATCACACATTCGACCGCGACCATCTGGTGAAATCGAGGGCACGCTGAAATTATAATCCCGCGTGGGAGCTCCAATGTAGCAGTTCCATAAGAATGTCCGATTAGCCGCTCCAGATCTGCTCGCAATGAATACACATATAGAGTACCCCACGATATGCCCACGAACCATACAATCGAAACAATGCATAACACCATGAAATTACAGGCAATCACGAAGGGATTCAACCCGGTGAACACGACGGCGACCAAACATGCAGCGAGATTACCTGAAAGACAAAACTCCAAATGAACGCCAGCCAGAAGCAAGATGAGCGACTGACCGATCTTAGAATATAGAAACATAGTCTGCCCACCTGCGTCAAAACCCATGACAGACCCTGCCGCCACAATTACGGCGTCCGTCCACCATGACTGCGGGGGGACCACAAATTTGGTCGCTATACAAATTATGATATAAACAACGTCTAACATGCAAGACTGCAAACTATATGTCACATCAGCTGCTACAGCACAACAATAAGAACATGCAACGATGCTGCAGAGCCAAGCGCGCCGGCTGAAAGGTGAAGACTGAAATGCAGGATCGTGCGTCCTCGTCCTAAGTGCTAACAAGCCGCATACAAGATTGACGCCAGGAATGTCATAACGGCTTTGGGGAGGCAACGCGGCGGTTTCGAGCAACGGCCGCCGCATCACGCCTCGTAACCGATACTGCGAGGCCTGAAGTTGAGCCAAAGCTTGACCTGAGCCTTGAGCCAGAATGGCTACGGATGCCTGAGACCGTCTAGCGATGCGAGGGAAGCCCACTAGCACTCTGGGTGGAGCTAGTGCAAGTAGAGCGCTCCCTCTACCATTTCCCGTCTTTCCGAGGGCGCCTGACTCTGCGCTTCGCGCCGCGCGAAGCGCGAAGCGCGAATCCGTTCTCGCTCTCGCGCCGCCCCCCAGAGGAGAAGAGGGGGACGAGGAGTCGGAGCCGAACCGCGAAGCGCGAAGCGCGAAGCGCGAAGCGCGGAGCGCGAACTCACCTCGCGCCCTCGAGGGAGCCTTTCGTTAGAGCGCTCCATCCTCCGAGTCCCGTCCTCCCCTTCGGAGAGGGGGCCGCACCCTGGCCATGGCCTGCAGCCTGGCGCGGCGGCCGCCCACGGCCCACCGCGAGGACAGGGGCGAGGCACGGACGAAGCTCCTGCCGCTGGGCAGCAGGGCCCGGCCAGAGCAGTGCTGCCCGCTTTCGTGCTGCGTTCGGTCTCCCCGTCGTGTCTTCGTTCCACCTTCGCTGCGAAGCGAGAACGCGTCGCGAAATCGCCCAAGCATCGCTCAAGCCGAGCCCTGTTGGGCAGAGCCTCGGATTGGCAAGGGCGCACAGCTTCGCGCGTCGCGCGGCGCGCCGCGCGAGGCGCGACCACCTTCGCGCTCCCGCGCCGCCCCCCCGGGGAGGAGAGGAGGACGAGGAGGAATCGGAGCCAAACAGCGAAGCGCGAAGCGCGAATTCGCTTCGCGCCCTCGAGGGCGCCCCGGCATCTCGGGGCTCTTTTGGAAGTTCTTTCGGGGTGCTCTTGGTGCACTGCTGGGGCACTGCCGGGGCTCTGTCTGGACTCGGTTGGAGCTCGCTCGGGGCTCGCGTGGGGCTCCTTGGAGCCTGAGGCGCCCTCCTGGGGCCGTCTTGCGTCCAGCGTGGCATCAGGCACAGGTGGTCGTGTTGGCCTTTTCGGGAGTTCGAGCTCTCCTGGGGCCCTCTTGAGGCCCTCTTGGAACGCTTTCGGGTTCCTCATAGGGGCCTAGGGTCCCGTCTTGGATCATCCCTTGGTCCTTATAGGGACCTACCTCGGGGGATATTGGAGCCACATTGCGGCCTCAGAATCCTATCGGAAGCCAAAGCGACAAGACCAAAATCGTTGAAACCAAAGTTACCAATTGTGGCCCCTCGGAGCAATCTGGGAGAGGCTCCGTGGCCACCTCGGACCCTTCTTATGGCAGTCTTGAGGTCTCGCGTAGGTCCAGTGGAGGCCATGGTGGACCATCTTGGACCATCGCGTACCATCTTGCTGGCATCTTGGAGACCGCTTCGCCTTGTCGTGCTCTCCGAGACCAAAACGGGGGACAACACACGCTGGTCCTGTGGCCGAGGGGAGTTTGTAGGGGTTGACCCAGTCCATGATGGGAAGTCATTCCTGGGTCTGGGGTCTGAACAGCCCCTCCCCCCGCGAGGCGTCGGTGCGTTCTTTTGACCCAAGATGCCTCCAAGACGTTCAATGAGTTGTGCCTTCTCGCATTGTCGCTTCCCATGGGCATCTGAGGCCTCAAGATGGCTCAAAGATCGCCAAAGAGAATATCAAAGGAGCCCATAGAGGCTCCAAGACATCCCAAAAAGATTCCGAAGGGCGCCCCAAGAGTGTCCCAAGAGGGCTTCAAGAGGCAGGGGCAGTGCTAATGCACGCAGACCCCTTGTTTGCAAGATGTCTTCCAGGATTGCCCTGAGATAGCCCCAAGGACCTTCGAGAGGGAACAAAGAGAGGCACAAAGAGAGCCTCAAGAAAACCCCAACGGCTCCCAAAAGGGCCCCAACGGCACCTAAAGGCCTTCAACCTAACTCCTGGAGGCACTTCAGTTCACCTTTGTCGAACCCCTTGGTTCACTAGATTCAATATCTAAAATCCGCCACCGTGCACTTGAGGCACGAGTTGGAGTGTCCTCAGGTCCCTTGTTGGATCCTCTGTAACCTCGGTCGTGAATCCTGAGGATTCTGCTAGGGGCCCAGACCCAAACTTGCCAAATCGGCCGGGTCTTGCCGCGTGCCTCCTGGCCCCCGGAGAGTGTTCCCGCATGACTTGTTCGGGGCCCAGAGGGCCTCAAGACGGACCAAGAGGGCCCCAAGAAACCCTCCCAGACGGTCCAAGAGTGCCCCAAGTCGCCGAATGACCGCTCCAAGATGCCTAAGATGGTTCCAAGACGGCCCAAGAAGCCTTCGAGGCGCCCCAAGAAAGCCCCAAGTGCCTTCACCAAGAGGGCCCCGAGAGGCCAAAATCATTGCTGTTCCTCAGGTGCTTCAACGTTTTTGGGGTCCTCGACTTTTCGAGCTTCCAAGACGGCCCAAGAAGCCCCAAAAACCGCCCCAAGAGGCCCCCGAGGGGCCCCCTGCGACATTCCAACGAGCACCCCAGAGGCCTATGACCCACAACCCAGGCACGGTAGCGGGATGGGCCGAAGGCCATGAGATCCGCCGCCCCCTTTTGATTTATCAAAGGGGTGCCTGGCGTGCCAGACCTGAAGATTACTTTCGACTGCTCGAAAGGCCCGCAAGAGGCCTCCAAGACGGCCCAAGACCCCTCCAAGACGTCCTCCAGGCAGGCCTGAAAGGACCAAAGTCATCGATTATCCTATGATTTTGAAGGATTCTGGCATTTTCTTCTTTTCAGCTCTCCGACGGCCCAAGACGGCCTAAGAGGCCCCCAACATCGTCCCAAGAGCGCCCAAGAGCCCTCCAAGATGGCCCCATGACAGCCTAAGAGGCCCCCAAGAGGGCCCCAACAAGACGCCCAGATGGCCTCCAAGATGCCTCCAAGACGGCCAAGAGGGCCTCCAAGACGGCGACGATGGCTCCAAGATGCACCCAGCCTGAGTTCGTCAAGATTGCGCCGTACACCGCTCCACATATCGTGCGCCGAATCGAAAGCTCCATACCAGCACTGGTTGCCACAAAACCCAGTGACAAGCCGTAATCTTTCGTGTGACGAGTGAGCGAACGCACCCGTGCACTGCACAGAAGGTGCACGACAGAGAATGCACATCATAGTGTCCAGCGTGCTCTTTTCTTTTGGCGAAGCCACAGATGCGCGCACCCGGCCGACCAAAGGCGCGGGTGCTCGAGAAGCGCAGCAGGCGAGCGCACGACAGGGCAGGCTGCCGGGCGTCGGAGGTGCAGTCCATCCGGAGCGCCCGCTGAGAGATACGCAGACTTCGGCGAGAGAGAGAGAGAGAGGGAAGAGAGAGCGGTGCGCGCACACGCTGGGCACCCCTGTTCAGTCGTCACTGGGGTGCCCGGCGGGCTGAGCCCTTTCGCTGTTGGTTCTGGTTCTTTGCCAGAAGAACCCCCCCCCTGGGGCTTCGGCCCCTCGCGCCGGCCACCCGAAAGGGCGCGCAGAGATTGACAACAGATGGTTGCAAAGGGTTTTTCGCCTCCAGACGGCTCCAAGATGGCCTCCAAGATGGCCAAGATGGCCAAAGATGGCCTCAAAGTTCGCCCAAGATGGTCCAAAATGGCCTCGAAGACGGCCCAAGTGAGTCCAAGATGCCTCCAACTTCGCACAAGAAACAGCTAAGACGGCCCAAGAGGTCCCCAAGACGCCCAAGATGGCCTCCAAGACGGCCCAAAAGGCCTCGAAGAGGTCCTCCAGGGACTTACAGGACGACCCGCACAAGTCAAAATCATAGATTTTCCTTAGGCTTACGGCGGATTTGTGCTCTTGCTCCTTTTCGGCCTACCGACGGCCCAAGACTGCCCAAGAGGCCATGAAGATCGCCCCAAGCCTCCAAGACGGCCCCAGGACGGCCCAAGAGGCCCCCAAGACGGCCCCAAGAAGGCCCCAAGACGGCCCAAGAGGCCCCCCAGACGCCCAAGATGGCCTCCAAGACGGCCAAGATGGCCTCCAAGATGCCTCCAAGACGGCCAAGGTGGCCTCCCAGACGGCCAAGATGGCCCCAAGATGCACCCAGACGGCCCCAGATGGCCTCAAGATGGCCTAAGACTGCGCTAAAGGCCCGCCAGAGGCCTCCAAGACGGCCCAAGAGCCTTCCAAGACGTCCTCCAGAAGGCCCGACAGGGTTCAAATCATTGAGTTTCCGTAGGTTTTTGAAGGATTTTAGGTGTTGCTCCTTCCCAGCTCTCCGACGGCCCAAAACGGCCCAAGAGGCCCCCAACATCGACCCAAGAGCGCCCGAGGCTCCCAAGACGGCCTCAAGAAGGCCCCAAGACGGCCAAGACGCCCAAGATGTCCTCCAAAACGGCCTAAATGGCCTCCAAGATGCACCCAAAACGGCCCCAGATGGCCCCAAGATGCACCCAAGACGGCCCAAGATGGCCTCAAGAGGCCTCCAAAACAGCCCAAGAGCCCTCCAAGACGTCCTCCAGCAAGGCCCGAAAGGGCCAAAATCATCGATTATCCGATTGCTTTTGAAGCATTTTGGCATGTTCTTTGTTTCAGCTCTCCGACGGCCCAAGACTGCCCAAGAGGCCCCAAACGTCGACCCAAGAACGCCCAAGAGGCCTCCAAGATGGCCCCATGACAGCCCAAGAGGCCCCCAAGAGGGCCCCAAGAAGGCTCCAAGACGGCCCAAGAGGGCCCCCCAGACGCCCAAGATGGCCTCCAAGACGGCCAAGATGGCCTCCAAGATGCCTCCAAGACGCCCAAGAAGGCTTCCAAGACAGCGAAGATGGCCCCAAGATGCACCCAAGACGGCCCCAGATGGCCTGAAGATTAGCTTCGACTGCTCGGAAGGTCCGCAAGAAGCCTCCAAGACGGCCCAAGAGCCCTCCAAGACGTCCTCCATGAAGGCCCGACAGGGCCCAAATCGTTGATTGTCCGTAGGTTTTGAACGATTTTGGCATTTTCTTCTTTTCAGCTCTCCGACGTCCCACGACGGCCCAAGAGGCCCCCAACATCGTCCCTCGAGCACCCAAGAGGCCTCCACGATGGCCCCCTGACAGCCCAATAGGGCCCCAAGGGGGCCCCAACAAGACGCCAAGGCGGGCCAAGATGGCCCCTAAGACGCCCAAGATGGCCTCCAAGACGGCCAAGATGGCCTCCAAGATGCCTCCAAGATGCCTCCAAGACAGCCAAGGTGGCCTCCAAGATGGCCCCAAGATGCACCCAAGACGGCTCCAGATGGCGTGAAGATGGCCTTAGACTGCCCAAAAGGCCCGCCAGAGGCCTCCAAGACGGCCCAAGACTCTCCAAGACGTCCTCCAGGAGGCCCGAAAGCTCGGAAACCACCTGGCCCGATAGCTCGCCCGACTCTGTGTTCCACGAAGGCTTTCGAAACCAACTCGGGGAACGCGTGGCCCGATAGCTTGGCCAAGCTCAAACCCAACTTTCGGCCACGCAGGCGCTCCCAAAAAGGCAGAGGGCGGCGGTGATTCGCCGTAGGCGTCTTCGATAATGCCATTATTCCGACAACTCCCTTAGACAAATTTTCTGGATGGGCCAGTGGTGGCACGCGAAGCGTCAAGAATCACGGTGGACCCCGCTGCGGCAAGAGGTGCACTGCAAGGAGGAGCACGACGGCACACAGCAGACACCGACCGGGCAACCTGTCAGCGGCAGCGCCGCGCGGGCAAGCCCCGCCTCGTGGAACTGCGGCCACTCTTCCACCTCTCGGGAGCGGCAAAGAGGGGGGTGTCCAAGAGGGGGGGGTGCAAATCATGGCCGGCGGCATGTGCGCGGCCTAACGGGGGGGCCAGGGACGTAACGAAAGAAGAAGAGGCGCCATGAAATCTGGGGAAATATCATGCCCCCCGCCATGATATCCCCCCCCCCTAGTCATCACCCCCCTCTTTTCCGCCCCCGAACCTCTATGTTGAGCCTCTTCCGGAAGAAATCGCAGACGCACTGCGCGTCGCGGTCGAAGAACTCCGCCGCGTTCTGGTGGCCTCGGCGGCACGCCCGGCCCGCTCCGCGGCTGCCCCCAGGAGGCCCACGCGAGGCGTCCGGGCCCGCCTGGAAAGCCGAACGATCCGGGCGAGGCCGCTGCGAGCGAGGCTCGAACGTAGCGTGCGAACGCAGACAGAGGCGACCAGGCTGTCAGCCAAGATGCGCATCGAGAGCCAGGGCTTCCAAAGTCCGGGGACGCCCAGTGCCTCGGGGAGGGAGGAGGAGCAGCGCCAGAGAGAGAGCAGGCGCAGCAGGGGCGGACTGTGCCCAGACAGCTCCTCTTCGTCCTCCACCTCCTCCTTCTCCTCCTCCTCCTCGTCCTCCTCGTCCTCCTCCTTCCAGCAGTCATCCCATCGCCCTCACCTTCTTCCATCACCCCTTCGGCTCATCCTATACCTCTTCCTCCCCTCGTCCTCCTCCCCCTGCCTCCCCAGCCCTGATCCTCCTCCCCGTCTCCCTCTTAGGTCCGGTGCCCAAATGTACGATTTGCGGGAAGTCGATCAGGGTCACCTTCTCGTCGCCTCCGGATATCGCAAGGCCGCAAGGAGAGGTCAGGAAACACAAACACACACACACACACACACACACACACACCTGCTGCCAGAAGCGCGCGGTCCACATCCCAGGCGCGAGAACACGGGCTCTCCGAGGGCACACCGTTCAACGAACTTGCCCAACGCGATGACTCCGGGTCCTGACGTGACCGTGCATCCAAACTCCTCCTCCTCCTCCTCCTCCTCCTCCTCCTCGTGCTCCTCCTCTCCTCTCTCCTCCTCCTCCTCCTCCTCCTCCTCCTCCTCCTCCTCCTCCTCCTCCCTCCCTCCTCCTCCTCCTCCCCCTCCTCCTCCTCCTCCTCCTCCTCCTCCTCCTCCTCCTCTCCTCCTCCTCCTCCTCCTCCTCCTCTCCTCCTCCTCCTCCTCCTCCTCCTCCTCCTCCTCCTCCTCCTCCTCCTCCTCCTCCTCTCCCCTCCTCCTTCCTCTCTCCGCCTCCTCCTCCTCCTCCTCCTCCTCCTCCTCCTCCTCCTCCTCCTAGCCGTTCTGGCTCAGGCAATTGTGGCCTGAGTTTGCTGCCGCCGATTCTTCAGAGCGGTTGGGTGACAGCGAGCCTTCTTGTCACAGGGCCAAGTTCACCACTGTCTCGCCCCTGGCAAGACTCCTTGGCTTGTGCGGCTATGTATTCTGTGCGCAGCGATGGCCAAGCAGCAGCACGACGGGGGTGAATTACGTTCGTGGCGATGTCGACTTGTTTTCACCCCCCGACGGGGAAACGTTTTTTCAACAAGCCGACGCGGGACAGTTGCTTCAAGTGTTGGTGCAAGGGTGCATGCTTCCACAGTCATGTCCCACATGCCGAGCCGTCCAAAGATGTCAAACCAGGTCGTGGCGGTGCAAAGGCCGGTGGCGAGCTCAAGCCTTGGGACCTCGCGGGACAGCTCAAAGAAGCCCAACTGCAGATCAAGAACAGGAGGCTGCGGCCAACAAGTCGAGCTGCACCAGTGCTCAGGAGATGGCGATCGATGTGGACATGGTATATGATGGAGAACCGTTTGATGAAGGCAAGCTTCGCGCACGTATACTTGAGTTGGACAAGCAGCTGGAGCTGGCAGGCAAGGCCGCAGGCGTGCAGTGGACACGACTTCGCGAATCTCTCAAAGCAGAGAAGGGAGGCCATACATGCTCGGATTAATCAACACCAGCCTGCCTCAGCTCAGTTGTTTGCGGTCAATCGACAGATGGCTACTGAGAATCGAGAAACTCAAGCACTCAATTGAGCTGCATCGCACGCAGATCTCTGATTTGCAGAAGAAGATGGAGCTTGCGATCAAAGATCTTGCCGACAAGGAGCAGAAGTACGAGAAGCTCCGCCAGAAGCAGATCGAGTTGGCCAAGGCAGCCATCCATCCGCCTCAGCAGGAGCACGCTCAGGACGGAGCTGGCGCTGTTGGCGCGCTTGGGCTCGATTGCACTCGATCGGGGACGATTCTCAAGCAGCTCGGCGCTGGCGAGGCTCCCATGCAGATGGCTGAGGAAATCGCCAAAGAGCTGCCGAATATCATCATCATCATCATCATCATCATCATCATCATCATCATCATCATCATCATCATCATCATCATCATCATCATCATCATCATCATCATCATCAGCATCATCATCATCATCATCATCATCATCATCATCATCATCATCATCATCATCATCATCATCATCATCATCATCATCATCAGCATCATCATCATCATCATCATCATCATCATCATCATCACCACCAATGCGCGGATACAGGTACTGGGCTCGAATCGTTCGGACATGGTGTCGGATGCACAGCAACCACTGCCGCATGAGCATCAAGTACCTGCGCCCAAAACACCAGCACAAGCACCAGCACAGGAGAAACCGGCCCCGTCTACTCCTGCATTGGTTTCAGCACGGGATGCGGATATCGAGAAGCTGCGAGAACAGCTGGTGCAGGCTGGGATTGCGCTTGAGGATGAAGCCAGCGACGACGATATCCGACAGGCTGCGAATAGATCGTATGCTGGGCGATCGGGGTCGAAGAGTGTTTTCTGCCCTTACTAGTACGGTTGCCAAGCCTGGTTGCAGCATGATGATGCTGAGTATGTTTGGCAGAATGGCAGAATCCACTCGAGATATCAGCATTTGCAGTTTGCCTCGACATGAAGAAGGTGAATTGCGACATGGACAGCATCGTGGATTGTTGCGTGAGCAGGTTGGGATGGATACTGGGCTTGTACCTACAGAGCGCTCCTCAGGTCTCCAAGCTGCAGGCCAACCCAACCCGCCTGATGAGATCAAGAAGGTATTCCCATCCCCATGCGAAACACGCGACTGAGAACAACTTAGGTCATGATCATACCAATAGAGTTGGCAGCAGCTTAAAGGCGAAAGGTCAGGTCACTACTAATGTTGACAACCCTGGCCCGCTTCTCAAATACATGGAAGCTTGTCGCTCGCCCATCGTCATGGTCCAGGAGCACAAGGCGGACGATGCTGCATTCCCTGGTCTACAATATGCGCCCAAGGATATGGGCTACCATGGTATTTTTGCGCCAGTCATACGCACTGCACAGCAAGGGATTTCTTCTGGAGTGGCGGTGTTGGCTCCCGCATGCATCACTGTCACACAGCCTCCGCTCCTTGCAAATCCTGTTCTACATGAAGGGCGGCTAGCAGCAGCAAAGATATCATGGGGGTGGCAGCTGGTGCGGTAGCTATTTCTGTGCATTGCAAGGATTATCAAAAAAACAAAAAAAAAAAAAAAAAAAAAAAAAAACTGTACACTCTGGTCTTGTTTAGTTGGGTCGCCTCAATGATGACTTGGGCAGTTTCTGGATTGTCGAAGGTGATTGGAATATGACAGCGGGTATCGTTGATGGGCAAGCATGGTTGAATCAACTGGGGGCTGCATGTATTATGACTGATAGCACCTGTCGCACTACGAACGCAACGGAAGAACACATGTACGAGCATTGTGCGGTATCGGACAAGACGGCAACTAAGCTCACGGCTTCACAGTTTGATGCTGCGTCGGCGTTAGCTGCCCATGCCCCCGCCCACCTACCTGCGCTGCCTGGGCACAATGAATGCTGGGCGAGGACACCGATCAAGCCGAAGCAAGTGCCGAAAGACCCAACATTGGTTGCTCACGACCGCAAATGCCACGGCATGGCGCGCTGGAAGTTGTACTTAACGTTACGCGCGAGCCTGGGTTGCGACTTGCATGGAACGTGGCTGTTGCTGGGTTGGGGAATGAGATACATGGGCGGTATGATATCGCTGATAAGGGCGTCCAACCATACCACGGCCGAGGTGGTCCGATTCGCATCTAGATGACGGAAGTCAAGCGGCAAGCGGCGCGGTTTACAGTATGGGCCTCTCACCAGAGCGTGGATCACAGCGTCGAAATGTGCCAATCACATTATGAGGGCGAGGCCGCATTGGGCCAAGCTAATCAACCAGCACTTGGAGCAACGTAGGCACAGAAAGACAAGTAGCTCATTGCATCTACCTGGTTACTTGGCTCCCTGGACGGCCAGGTATGTGGATGACATGTTGCAGGATACTGGTTGGAAGGAGGTCCGACGCCGACGTGGGCAGCAGGGGCGGCAGGTTACGGATGCTTCGTAGAACAATCCTGCTCATCGGCTGGCTGCATCGCTTCGCGATCGGATGGGCTTCTTCAGACGCACAAAGGCGGCCGCTCATATCATGCCGCTGATTGACGAGGACATGCGATTGTTCATGGTAGTGTGGAGCGAGCTGGTGATTTCACGCAGCTGCATTTAAGGCTCAGTGATCACAAATGGCAGCAGTGGGCCAGCGGCACCTTTCGCAATGGCGCTGGCAAGGCCCATCGTGCGTCAAGGGCGCAGGTTCTGCAGAAGATGCTTGAACATACTGATCGCACGCAGCCGTTTCAATTGGCCGATAATGAGATGTGGAAGTGGCGATCAGCATGGGTACGTCATGACACGCAGCGAATGCAAGTGCCCAATGGACATCGGCATTGGGAGGAGCCACCTGCCATCACAGCGCGGGCGCTGCGTGAGGCTGCCCAGACGTTGTCATAGGGCACGGCGGTGGGGTACACTAGATTGCATCCTCGTGCATCTTGGTACGTATCCGATGCTGGGTTTGAAGTGTTGCGTGCACTGTACATGGCATGCGAGCGTATGCTGGCATGGCCATCCCACATTATCGAAACCAGATGGTGGCATGCGCCTGATCACACTCATGGAGAGCATGGAGCGTGTGTGGTCGCGTATAAGACGCCCTATATCGTGCGCTTGGGTTCTTGGGCACGGCAGCCCGCACATATGGGGAAACAGGGGGGGTACTCGTCTAGCTACTCGGCGTACGAGCACAATCTACATGCTGACATGGCACATCCATGCGGCGAGCATTCAATTCGCGTTGTTCTGGACATGTGGAAGTGTTTCGAGACGGTGCTGTTCCCTGCTCTGTTCCGAGAGGTATAAGCCATGGGCTTCCCGCTGAGATTGATATAGCCGCTTCTCGAGACTTATGTACAGTCTAGGGTGGCCAAAGCACATGGCAGCTGGAGTATGTCGGCGATATCGCGACAAGGTATTCTGGCTGGATGCACGCACGCCGCCACACTGCTCACCATGCTCACGCATCGCGCTATACATCGTGTCAGCACGCAGCACCGCAGAGTCATACCACGTGCACGCGTTGATGATAATACGTTTCAATGGATTGGCTCAGACCTGCGCGAAGCAGGGGAGCTGCATCGTGCGGCATATGACTTTGCAATGAAAGTAAGAGAACGTGGCCTGCTCATCAAGCCTGAGTAGTCGGGCTGGCTGGCCACCACCAAGCGCGCGATCGCATCTTTCCGTAGCAAGGCGAGGCAACTCAAGCTCACAGCTCAGAAGTGGATTCGAAACCTCGGTCATGAGATGCGTTCGGTCCGACCCGTTCGGAAACAAGCCCTGGTTCGACTCGACAAACTTCGTGATCGTCTGCCCCGGCTACGT